CTAACTATTTATCATACATACCTAGGACATGGTACGGAAATTAAAGATGTTGTATAACCAGTACGTGACCCCCACCTGATAACTGCTACTGCTAGGCAAGTGCTGACTGACTGGTAGCTGTCGGAGGCTCGACTCTCCTTAAGCTACATAAATATTTGAGCAGAATGTACTAAGTACTAAGCTCAAATAAAAACTTGATTCTTATTATTAATCGATCTTACTCGGTTCTCTCGCTCGATTAAAAAAAAAATATCATTTAATCTGGATTTAGATGTTTTGAGCTGTTCTGAAAGATTTGCTGACTTTGAGGCATTCTAGAGTTCTCTGAAATATTTCTAAGTCTGGTCTGCTTATCTGATCTAAATTATCTGACTGATCTGATCTTATTTATCTGACTGGGTGAAACTCGACTTAATCGTGGTCCGGGTGCATACGCACGGACACGACATCAGTCGACGCACAACTTTTCTACCCGGATCTAGAGTTCATCCGGACTGATCGAAAAAGGCCAAACTAGGGTTCTCTTCTCAACCGGCTATCTATCTCGGTTCAAGTCAAAAACTCAAACTTTAAGTTCAACTCAATTTCTAGTAATTTTAGCCAAGTCTCAACCGGATAAAATCTAGGGTTTTCACCAAAGCAGCTAAAGTCTCGAATTTGTAGGCATGCCAAACAACCTCTAAAAATTATGAAATTTTAACCACGACATATTCAGCATTTATAGGATTTTTCGTGAAAGTTTCATCGAATTCCGAGGTCTTATCATATTTCTCATAAATCGGGCATTTCAGCTACATATTCAAAAATCCAGTTAACATACTAAACGAGCACCAAAAATTACGAAATTATAACCTAGGCCTCAAGTCAGCTATACGAATTTTATCATGCTAGTTTCGCATTTTTCCGGGCAACAACCAATATTTACGGAATTTAATGCCATTTAAACCGATAAATTCACCATAAATTCTATAATGCTCGAAATCGCTTCCCGTAAATTTTAAAATTCATCTAAATATTCGATTAAACTTGTGGAGTAATGTTTAAGTCGATATACCTCTCGAAAGGGTCAAATCAGAAGTCGGAAAAATCAAAATGGCTAGGACACGACCCGGTTGTGCTCGGGTGCACTCGGATCTAGGCCATGGGCTCGGTTTATGGTTGCTGGTCACGGATTTGGGTTGCTGGGCTGCTGGTCGTCGTCGTACGGACGTCGGGCTGTGACTGACGGGTTCGAGCTTCGCCGGAAAACGAACGCGAGAGAGAGTTCTTGTTGGAGGGGGCTGACTAGTTCGCCGGAGCTGGTCGAACCAGAGCTGCACAGGATCTGCGAGTAAGAGCGAGCTCTTTGCCGGTGGAAAGAGCAGCTGGTCGCGAGCTTGCTGTTGCCGGAGATGGT